AACTATATATTTGATCTTTTATTTATGTATAAGAAGTGTCTATCAAAATTATATTCTAAGTTACGCTCTGAGGTTTTAAATAACAATGCCACCACATGTGTATCTATGCACGATTACAAAACAATATAATGTAAATATTTATTTAATTCAAATATAAATATTTATTTATTTTAACTCTGATCAATATAATTCTGTGTGATTTAATTTGTAGCTGCTGCTCATTACTCAGCACTTTGTTATTCACATGTTCCATTTCCGTTATATTTCTGGGAAACTTTACAACACTTAACCAGCTGTTTGGGCCATTTTAGATTTACGGTCGATTGTTTGGAGAATATATTTTTGCTGTGCTGCCAATTTCGGTTTTAAATTAAAGTCGAAAAAAAGCTAATTTTTGTAAAATTACAGAATCAAGCTAAAACCGATTGTAAATCTAATTTAGTTTGCCATTTGGAACAAAAAAAAAAACAAAGTAATAATATCCGTAAAATTTACACTCCACTTACGCAAAGTCAAACGTCAACGTTTTGTCATTAGTTTTCGTCAAAGCACGTAGTTTTGCCATTTGAAAGGTAATTTGCCTTATTTCCGCGCTACCGTCAGCTAGTTCTTTATAGCAGCTCGTGAACTAGTTCCTCTGCAGTTGCCATAAATATGGGAAATAAATGTAAATGCGCAAATATTTATATTTAAAGCGAGCCGAGCGCTCGTTAAATTTGATTATTGACGCAATTGTCTAGCTAAATTACGCCTTATGCAACGCAAATAGTAGGGTATATGTAGGGTACAATGCAAATAGCAGGGTATATGCAAGGTATATATATTACTCAAGCAAGGCTCGCCCAGCTCGTTCCCATAAACATATCTTAAAGCGTACGAATCACCTGCCATTTAGGCGTATAATTTGTTAACTCTATTTTGTTGCCACTTTTGTCGCCCGATGAGTTGGCATTTATTCTGGCCAGCTTTTTAGAGACCCGTCCCCGCCCCCGCTCCCGGCCCGGCCCGGCCCGGCCCGGCCCGCTCGAGCTCCAGCTGCGGCTCATTTATCATTTTGCAGTGTGACAAACAAATAAAACACAAAGTTGACAACACTCAAAACGCTCGTTTGTTGTCTGTTTGTCTTCTGTTGTTATTGTTTTAGTCTCTTTGTTGTTGCTGTTGTGTTTTTTACTGGCATTTAAGCATCAATTTCAAATCGCATTTCAGCTGCCGTCTTACGCGTGGCTGATTTTTGCGGCAACAATAGCTTGATACAATACACGAGTTGAGATACATATAGCTTGAGGCTCTCTCTATATATATTTCTATATATTTTTCGTCTGTTTCACAGCACATAAATTCCAAGTATTACAGTTGCATTCGGTCTCGCCTAGAACGGCAATCACAATTACAATTCATGAGCCAAAGAATATATACTATAATTCCGTTCGCTTTTCCTGCTTCACAGAGCCAGGCGGGCCAGCCGGGCCTGCACTTCATAAACAAAACAGTTTCTCGATCTAACTAACCGCAAAATGCTTAAGTGGAAAGCAGCCACTAGACAGGGTCATAACAGAACATTCTGTGGGGCAAGGGGCATGCGGCATGGGGCATGGGGCAAGGGGCATGGACGCAGTAGCTGAACCAACACACTTGCTGAAAATCTAATAATGGCCTGCCAGCCAAGACGACAATGTCCTTCTGCTTCGTCTTAAGCTAAAGTTGAGTAGTTTATGAAGTGGCTACACAGAGAGAGACAGCGAGAGAGAGAGAGGGGGAGAGAGAGGGAGAGAGAACTTGGCCCAGAACCGCTACACAGAGAGAGACAGCGAGAGAGAGAGAGGGGGAGAGAGAGGGAGAGAGAACTTGGCCCAGAACCGCAGAACATGCCGTTTGACTCAACCATTGTGGACAGGCACGAAAATTGTTGGCTGATTTGTTGTACTTGCACATTTATGGCCCAGCTTTTAACTGCCGCCATATTTATCAATGGGCCCACTAAGTATTATTAATAGTGCGGTTTCGCGCGCCTCTCTCTCTCTCTCTCTCTCTCTCTCTCTGCCCAATTTTCTATTTATCCCTGTTTGTTCACAACAATTGCGCCCATCATTTATTACTGGCCGCAAATTAAAATTGACAAAAACAAAGGCAAAGGCGATGCAATCATATGACCATGAATCGTACGATTTGCATACGGGAAACGGGAAAGAAAAACAAAAAACGAGATAAAAAAAAAAGAAAACAATCAAATGCTAATTTCCAATGCAATTTCCAGAGGCAACAATAAATTTGCTAAGACAAAGGCGACAATCTTAAGTACAACTTACACGGAATCGTCAAGAAAAGCTCCGGCTAAAGCTCAAATCTGAAATAAGATCTGTCGGTGGCGTATACGTAATCTCAGCCATACGATTCAAATTACCGCTTGTGGCTGCCGCTGCTGTTCTACATAATGCGCATAATAATTTCGCTCATTTAAAACGTGTGTTGGCCAGCCAAAAACTGACTGACAGACAGACACAGTCACACACACACACTCGTACACACACCTAGAGCGCACTTAAGTGCGACGGGCATCATCATAAATAAAATGAAGAATTATAGAAACACAATGGGGCAAGTCGCGGATTCTACAATGAAAACGGGAAGCTGTTCAGCTAATTGCAACGTTTCAAATTTCGCGTGTTACATAACAAAACGTACCAAGTGCCAGACAAACAATATATGTATGTTTAAGTATTATTTCAACAGTTGGAGAGCAAAACGAAAATCACCTGAAACATGTCGCGAGAACGCGCAGATGTGCAGGCACTGTGCAAAACGGCAGCTCAAGCATGGAATGATATTTAGCTAACCAGGAAATCATGTAGCTAGGAAGTGATATGGAGCGAATAAATAGTTTGCCAGCAGTTGAGTCAGCAATTAATGCGCTTTGACTAGAGCTAAAGTCAGGGGAGAACAGATACAGATATATTCGACATAACGAAGATTTTTCACGACTTTTCTATTATTGTTTTTTAAAAGAATTTAATTTAATTTTCATATATATGTAATACCTTTTTATTTTAAATTATTTTGAATACATTTAATTTATGTTATGCTTATTAGTTTTATATTACCAAAAAAAATCAAAGAAAACAAATTTCGTTAAACGTTTTTTCTGTTGCAACCCGATGGCAGCGCCACCTGCCGGGTCCAATTGTCAATCACTGTTCTAGAAATTTAGATGGAATTCAGTGAGAGTAAAGAAGAAATATTTGAAAGAAGTTATTTCTTTACTCTTTATTTTATTCCTATTTATTGAAGGAAACTTAAATCCTACCTACGCTTAACAAGGAAATATACATTTTCATTGATTTATTCAAAGTAAATAAAAGAATTATTGTTGTCAGTTTTAAAAATAATTAGTTAGAAAAACAATATTAATACATATTTTTATAATATTAATATATTTCAAATATATATAAAGCACGTTTTGGCGAGCTTCCCTTTTAAACTATTTATATAGTTTATAATAGCCAATTAAATATTTATATTTATAACATATACATATATATATTTTTAAAAATTTTAATTAATTTTACACTTTGAATTCCCATACAAAATGTTGTTTCCTATAGATAAATTTGCCATATTAAATTACATTTTTGATATTAACATTCTTCCTTATGGTAAATTACATTTGTCGTATATTAAGTCTTTGACAGTATTCCAAGAAAATATCAAAAACATAAAGCAGCTGATGGAAAAGAAGAAGATTATCATTAATCTTGAAGAAGCACATTCCACTAAAATAATTTAATTTGTTATTCGGCCTCAAAGCCAGTATCATTAATTCATAATATTGCATAATCGGAACGCATGTTGACTTTTAGTCTTTATTGAAAAGCAAAGCAGTCAAATTGCATAAAATAAATTACAGTCTGTACATAGATATATAATTATAACAAATATTAAGTGTTGTTGGCTTAAAAAATTATTCAATATTTTCGGTTTGTTCTAAACGAAGATGAATTCAAATGATATAAGATTAAAAGATCAACAAAAATGTTGCTAACAAATGTTTTAGGTTTATAGAGGTTCCTTATTCAACAGCTTAAATAATACTCAAATATCTTGACAATTTATTTTAAAAAAATTCTAAAAAACAACAAAATGTTCAAGAATTTCTGTCAGCCAGCTGTAAAAATAGCTTTAATATTTGCGTATTTTCTTGTGTTAAATTCATATATTTTCCTATTAGCTCCAGTTGCCTTTTGCAATCATTTATAAAGAAAATGAAATTAACTGCTTAAACAGAACCAACGGGGTGCCGTTTCCACTTCTAGCTAGTAAGCAGATATCCAGAAACATGTCATCATTTTTTTATTTTCCACGTAAGCCCAAGCCGAACAATGAAAGCAAAAGCATATGCAGTCGCCTAATGAGACAGAGCTGGCAAAACAATTTTGGGACGACAGCAGCAAATAAAAAGGAGTTGCCAAAAAATAAAGAAAAATACAAATAAAAATGCGTTGGCGCACAGTGCGTATGATTAATGCAGGCGCATATTTAATCATTTTTCATTTCTCCGAAATGACAGCAGAGTAGATGACGCACGAACAAGGAACAACAATTTGAGGTTTGAGAATTCCAATGAAATTTAAGAGCTTGTCCTCAGTTGACAGGCGGCCAATCAGAATTAGATGGGCGAGGTGGAGTGGGGTGGACTGGACTGGGGGGAAGGCGACAGGACAATCGAGTGCAACTGACATAACCTACAACATCCCGTCGGGCACGGGCACGGGCAACGCCCAACTGCGTTTGGTGGGCAAACAAAGAGAGCCAAAACTAAAACTAAACTCATTTAACTTTTGCCGCATTTTGTTGGCATTTTACCTGGCCCAACACGACAACAACAACAGAAAAAACTGTTATCAAAATGTCATTCATTCAAATATGTAGCGAGGGGCCAAGGATCGTTGGCTCCATTGTTGATTCCCATTATACAATATGCCTCTTGTTGCTTCCACTTGCAGTGCCCACCGACAGCAGCAGCAGCAGCAGCAGCGGCAGCAGCAGCGGCAGCGCATCCGCCACAATTGTCATGGTCGCGGTCACGCCGAGCAGCATCAGTTCCAGCGCCAGCAGCAGCACCGAGACGTTGGCGGAGCAGCAGCAGCCGCAGGGTAAGTGTCCGTACTTAGCTCCCGCACTCTCCCCCCCCCCCCCCACTCTCTTCCCCCCACCTGCCCCGCCTATAACTAGAACTTAAAACCAAACAATGCCGCATTTCAATTCTTTATAGGCCAATGTCTGCTGGACGGGCTCTGGGTGCCGGAGACGACGGTGCACTGCGAGAAGCAGACGAGCTGCCGCGCCATCCAGCGCACAGGACACTGTTGTCCCGACTATAAATGCGGTAAGTTGTCGCTTGCCACACGTTGCGTATTTATGCAAATGGCCACGGCCACAGTTACAGCGCCCTCCGCGCCAATCATCATTTTTGGGGCTTAGCTTTCCTTTTACTTTACAGATTGCGAAAAGGATGGCAAAACTTATGCGAATGGCGATAAATTGGTTGATCCGGATACACCTTGCACCGTCTGCTACTGCAAAGGTAAGCTGACCGCAGACTTTCGGCAAATTTTGTTGCATTCGATCAAAAAGAATACAAATTTTAATTAATTTGCAAATGTTAAACAAACAAGGAGCTGTTGAAGCTATTCTCGATCTAAGCTGGGTTTTGCTTAAAGGTTTCTTAAAGAGCGGGCTTCCACCCATTTTTCGATCGTATTAATCCAAACAAAGCTGATAATAAAATATAAATATAATACATAAATAAATTCTATTTCATCAAATATGCCCCATAAAACTTGGCTACCGCATTCCTATCATGGAGCATGCATTTTTTTTTTAATTAAAAAACATAATTGGAATGCTTGGATCGTAAAATATATGCTGGAGCTCGATTGGAAAATATATAATACCTATTTTTTTTTTACGCAGTTTGCAGTTTGATTAAATTTCCAATTAATTTCGGACCAAAGTTTATTTAAATATACTGAGTATATTATTTCTTCCGATTTTAGGCTTAATTTTGCAAATATTGTTTTAAATATTGTTTTATTAATCATAAAAACCTAACAAAAAGTTTCGCTGATCGTGTAACTTGTTGAAGCCTTGGTTCATTGCATTTATTTATAGAATAATTAAGTCTAATATAATGTAAATTAAAAAATTATATACATTTCAAAAATTTTCAAAAATAATTCACTTTCGGCTTATATTCAAAATAATGAAATATTTCTTTCAAAAGTAAAGGAACATGTTTAATTGAAACCATTTGATAAATCCAAAATATATAATGTTGATTCAGATCAAGCTTAAACTCTTCTTTAGCCACATGATATAGTTTCAGGCTCAGTCTTATGTATATGTAAAAAATTATTATATTATATAAAAAATATCAATTCATGATTAAAAACCGATCAGATTAAACCCAGTTTTCGGACTTGCTTAAAAAAACTTTTCAAATAGAATGTAAATCCGGACTGTATAGGTTAATAATTTGAAAAGCATTGAGATGCAGATTAGAAACAACAAATTAAAATTTCACAATTCTCTAAAACTATCCCTCAAACATGTCCAGTTTGTCAGTTTCGAGCCACACAATTGGCCGTGGACGAATCCGACCGAGTGCAACAGTTAATTAAGGCAACATTTCAATTATTACAGGTGGTGAAATTGTGTGCAGCTCGGTGACCTGTTTCCGACGCGACGATTGCATGCCCAAATACGTGACTGGCCGCTGCTGTCCGGAGTACGACAATTGTCCCAGTGAGTAGCCCCCACTCGAATAATAATCCAAATTCTCGACTTACCTCGCTTGCCTCTGCCCCGCAGTTCTGGACAACAATCCGCCGCTGAGCAGCGAATCGAGTAGCGCGACGCCGGCAACCGCGAAGCCTGCGCCGGCTGCACAGCCCGCTGGCTTCAATTGGAACATAACCATCAAGGAGATTACCAAGCCGACAGAGATACGCATAACGGATGACAATCACAAGCTCAAGCAGACGATACCCACACGAAAAGCGGCCAACACGGAGGCGCCGCCAACAGCAACAACTGCAACAACAGCAGCAGCAGCAGCAGCAGTTGCTGATAGCACGACAGCAGCAGCAACAGTTGCTGATAGCACAACAGCAGCAGCAGCAACAGCTACGGCAACAACTGAAGCCACAGCAACAACATCTCCAGCAGCAGCAGCAGCAACCAGCAGCACTGAGACGGCGGCAACACCAACGCGAAGCTTTGCGGTTAGCAAAGACAACAACCCGAAAGCACTTCCAGTCAATGGTAGCGAGAGCTTAAAGCTCATCGCCTCGGTGGGCTACATTGAGCGTCCGCTCTCGCCCGGCAATCAAATTGTTATTGGACAGCAGCTGAAGCCGCTGGTCACCTACAATGCGGACGGCCTGCTGCCGCTGGCCGAGAACGATCCCAGCAAGGTCAACATCAAGCGGGAGTACACCACAGAGGGCGTGGCCGGGCTGTTGAGCAGCAAGCCAGCAGCTGAGTCGCCGGATGGAGCAGCTGCTGCTGGCGCAGAGCTGGAGCCAGACACAGCGGGCAGCGACAATATATACCACATCATCTCCACCACAGAAGGACCCAACAGCAGCAGCAGCACCACCACCACGGAGCAGCAACTGAGCACAGAGGGAGTCATGCACATAAGCGAGGAGAGCTCCACGTATTATGGCAATGCCACCATGGAGCTGGAATCGAGCACAGAGGGTTTGATGGCCGCCAGCAGCAGCAGCGGCAGCAGCAGCGAGTCGCCCGCTTCGAGCACTGCGCAGCCCGTGCATCACATGGATGAGGATGAGGTGCCGCAGGTGGAATCCAATCCCGCCTATCCCTCGCTGCCCGAGGATGATTTCAGTCTGCGCGATGTTAACTTTCCGCTGTCCGAGCTGGACGAGATTGTGGAGGCGGAGAACAAGGATGAGCAGCGCAGCATAATCAGCCCCTTTGAGCGGGACAACAAACGTACAAAGCTCGTTACTGAGAACAGTTTGGATGCCAGCGGCGGCGGCAGCGGCGCCGGCAGCGGCAGCGGTGACCTGGAACTCTTTCAGTCGTTCGGCTCCACAACGGAGAACATGCTGGCGCAGGCGTCCAGTGTGGAAAAGGTCGCCATGGCGGAGCAAGTGCCGCTGATGTACAGCGCCGAGGACAGCTCCGCGGAGACACGCATCCAGAACGTCAACGAGCTGGCCAAGATCAGCGCCAGGCAGAGCGAGAACGAGACCAGCGGCGAGCTGGACACCGGCAGCGGCAGCGGCGAGCTACGGGAGCCAACAACGCCGCGTGCCAACACACGCGTCCAAGCACTGGACATTGATGAGCTGGGCTCGGGCGCTGGCCAGGCACAGGCACAGAGCACAGCCGAGGATCCCAAGGCAGATGCCGAGAGTCTCAAGCTGGATGAGAGCCAGGAGCAGCAGTCGGACCGTGTGGCCAACACAAATTCCGCTGGCAAGGCGTCGTCTCGGGCCGAGAAGAGTTTCGTGGAGGCGGATCAGCATCTGGATCGTCTCTTTCTGCAGCGAATATACTGAAAGCAGGTAGCACAACAAATTTATTTTTGGTGTATATATATACTATAACACATAGCAGAGCTGTAATTTTTTCAATTACCATAAACAATTACCTAAACGATTAATTCAGTAATTAAAATCGAGAAGTGAATTTGACAAGTTGCAATTGCTTTAATAATTGTGACAACAACTAAGTAAACGCCATGGTAATTCAACTATAATTACCAAGTAATTAAAATTTAAGAAACGCATTACTCAAGTAATTGAAATTCATGAGTGTTTCGCTTTTCTATTCACACTGAAGCGATTGTTAATTAACGATTCCTATGCTAACAGCTCGATTGCATCGATTATCGATAGGCAGTTATCGATATTATTTTTCTAAAATGCGAAAAGTCTTAAGTTTAAGTAGCAAGAAACGAAAGCAACATTATAAAAAAAACAATAAAACTAAAACTTATTATATTCACCGACTGCACATTTAATGCAAATTATTAAAACTTGAATTTATCTAGGATTTAAGTACGCCTAATAATTAGCAACAATTACATATACAACAGGAAAACATAAAGCTGGGCTCCCCAAATGCAATAACTATATTTTTATTAAATTTTCACAATGTGCACATCGTGTGCAAAAAGAAATGAAATTTGCTTAGTTATAGAATTTATTTATTCATATAAATAAATAAATTTAAAAAGTTTTTGTAAGTTAAGAAACACATTAAAACCCCTAAAACATTTCATAATGCCACGCCCACAAACCCACATCAAGTGCCCACAAAAATTGTCATTGCACAAAATTATTAAACATTTATTTAACTTGTTTTATTTACTATGAATTTATTTAATATTTAATTTATTGCATAAAACAAAAGTTTGAAAAAAGAACGAATGGCAAATGCTCTAGTGATGTTTTTTTAATGCAAATTATTTAGTCCTCTTCGATTTGAAAAGCTTTTAAGTTTAGACTGAATATTGAAAGTTCTAATTTAAAGTAATTACTTTAATTAATATTTATAAACTAAATAATAAAAAATATATATGCCCAAAATTCATATAAATATAATAAAAAGTGTCAAAAGTGCAGTCATTTTGTAGTTTCTAAGCTGGAAAAGAAATATATATAAAATAAAACGAAAAAATAAAAATAATTTATTTAGACGCGCAAAAGATTAGTTGTGTTAAGCAACAAATATTTGCACAAATTTTGAAAAAAATATATGAAAATAAAGTAAATTTAATTAGCGTAAATTTAGTTTCAAGTTCATATTCATGTGTACGAATAATAATAAAAAGTATATAAATAGTAATTAAAACTGTAAACTATTTTACGTGTTGGTTAACTGCAAGTAAAGAGCGTGAGAAGCGCGTAGAAGAGCGCTGTAGAGCAGCTGTTGCCTGCGAGAAAACATTGACCGAAGGCGTATACGCACACCTGTCCTAGCAATAATTGCGCAATTGGACACACCTACAACAATAACAACAGCAACAACAACAACATGACTTTTCATTAAATATGCAAGTGCATGCGGCGGCAATTACCAAGAAATTAAATGAACAAAACGTACACAACAAATATCACGACAGCGTCAACAACGAATGTTGCATCACAGCGGCAACAGGCAACTGTTGCCACAACAACAACAGCAACAAAGGCGGCCGCAAACAGCGACTCGGCTTACGCCGCAGGCAACAATAATAATAATGACAACAACAACAACAACAGCATCGGCAACATTCAATATATTGAACTGTAATCCGCAACACGTTAAAAACAAAAAACAACAGAAAAATAAAAATAAAAGCAACAACGACTTATGTAACAAGGTTGAGGAGCTGCAAGCAAACATTTTGGTTAATTTCGTATGCGCCGCGGTATCCCAGCCGGAGAAAGTCTTCGTCTTCGTCTACGTCTTCGTCTTGGTCTTGCTCTTGGTCTCACACTTATTAGAGCCAAGCACTTTCGATTGGAGGAGCAACTGGTTTGTAGGAGTTGGACTTTCGCTTTCATTCAATTTGATGGGAGGCAAGAAATGCAAATAACTCATTTTTAATACTTAAATAGTTTGTTGTTTTTATTTTAGTTTCTTTTCTTATTGTGTGCTTTGTAAAACTTAACAAAAAGGTGCATCCAAATGCGATTTAAATTTAATTGCGTCCAATTTGATCGACCTGCGACTGCAGATTGTTTATCACCTCCGAGGGCACCGTATCGCCGAGAATATCGAAGAGATTGATGCGCTGATTGCCGGGTATCTGCTCGTAGGCGCCCAGCTCGATGCCCTCCTGCACGTTCTGGATCTGCGCATCCTTGGGTATGAGCAGCGTCTGCTGCGCCTGCCGGATGGCCTCGTTCGTGTACGCGGCGCCCTCACGGGTCTGTGGCAAGCAGCATGCGCTGCCAACCAGCAGCAGCAGCAGCACGGACAGCAGGGAGCACAGCACAAAGAATTTCATTTTTGTTATCGATCGCTGTTCTGCAAGAAATGCTCGTTGTCATTTAAATGAGTTTTTAACACTCTTCGCTGTCTTACCTGGCGCGTGAGCTTTGTTGTAATGATTCGGCTGCGCAGGCGCCGCGCGCTTTTTATAAGCTGAGCCAGCACTGGAAGCGGCGCGTCTGGAAAGCCGCTGGGCGCCAGCAAACATTTCGCTTGTTTATTTCTGGTTTTTATCCAATACAAGAAAACGAAAAAGAAAAACAAAAAATGAGAGTTAAGTTTAACCATTGCTATGGTTTTTTTTTCGCCAAACGACCCATAAAAGTTTTGATTATTTTTAGAGCAGGCAAATCATAAACATTATTATTGGGCATTTGTCCACTTTTGTGGCGAAGGTTAAGCCGCAACAGAAATGTCAAGAGGCGCTTAACCTTCCAGTGCACAGCCAAGTGACGACCAGTTGCCGTTCAAGTGTAGGCATTGCTATCTGGTTCATTAATGGCCGCGGCGAGGCGGTCTTAATAAAGTTTAACAATTGCGCGCAGCTTGAAGAGCCACCAAATTGTAAATTGCTAACCAGCTATGGCTTTTAATATTTTTGCGTAAGCCGTCGACAAATGCAGCACATCATCGCCGTGTCTGGTTTTTTTATTTTGCATGTTTCTTTGGCAGCGCAGCGTATCAATATTAATTATTAAACGATTAACTTTTGGGATTTTTTATTTTCGCATGTTTGCCTTGCATAAGCAGTACATGATTAAATAACATATGTGCCGCTTACATCTGCATTAGCATTCGGCTCGTCAATTTGTCAGCTTTGGCTGCTGAAGCTGATTTCTTTTTCAAATTTCGCGGTAAGATTTAAATAAACGATAACATCTTGTTCGCTCGATAGAAATTCACAGCGATGTTTACGCCAAGTTGGCAGCTCAACACAATATATTGTCCGCCTCCACCATCTATCGATAACAATAAAACTCGAAATTTTGTTTTAAATATTAATAGTTTATTCATTTATGATAGCATAAAATTATGTCTTCTTAAGAAAATCTCTAAGCAGGTCTTTTTGTTGCAGTGGCTTAACATAAAATTGGTAAGCTATCGATACCTATCGATGTTTCTGAAATTGAGTACATCTCTAATCTATCTGCAGCCACCTCAAATAGCGTTTTATTAAATAAATATTGTTATATAGTATTTCTCACTTAAAGCATAAGATAAATACTTTATAAACCCCTCCGTGCTGCACAAGCAAAAAAGTGCACTGAGCAAGAGTTAATCCAACAGTTCTGCTACTGCACACAAGCAGCAAAAACGAAACAAAACACCGCATCGAAACGCACGTGTGCGGGAATATGGAAGCAGAGAACGGCGAGGGGCAGGTGCAGGTGCACCTTAAAACCAAACAAGAACAGTGAGTATAGAAACTCCCATTGGTTTATATTATAATTCTAATTACAATTTTCTTAGCTATGCTGTGCCTGATGTCCCATATGCCATCGAAGGCAGCGTTTCCACCACGGAGCTGAATATATTCCTAAATGCGCTGCTGCAGAGCAAAGGTGCCGAAGGTGTTGACTTTGATTTCCTTGTATTCGATGAGTATCTGCGCGGTCGGCTGTGCGATCATCTGCGCGAGAAGGCCATCAGCTTTGAGGATGCGATTGAGATTGAGTATGTTGAACGTTTTCCGGCGCCAGAGCCGCAGGATTGTTTGCTGCACGACGATTGGGTGTCGGCGGTAAAAGCATGCGGCAAGTGGATACTCACTGGCTGCTACGACAACACCATCAACATTTGGACCAACAAGGGCAAGCACAAGCTAACCATACCCGGTCATACGGCGCCTATTAAGGCTGTGGACTGGATATCAATGGACGACGAGAACGGACGCTTTGTGTCCACATCACAGGATCAGACAGCCATGCTGTGGCAGTGGAACATTGCTTCAAATGCCGTGGAATGTGTGTCCGTGTGCAAGGGTCACGAACGCGGAGTCGATAGCGTCTGTGTGAGTCCGGATGCGCAGCGATTCGCAACTGGCTCCTGGGATACAATGCTTAAAATATGGTCAGCTGGATTGGATGACACCAGCGAGGGCACTGCAAAGCGAGTCAAGGAGAGCGGCGTTAGAGTAAGTCTGCCTACTATTAACTAGTCCTGATAAAACTTCTTAATTCAATCCGTTTTCTGCATAGACGCCGAAGATGACGCTGCAGGGCCATCGGGAGAGCATTTCAGCTGTGCAGTGGATGGACGTCACTACGTTGCTGACTGGCAGCTGGGATCACACGCTTAAAGTCTGGGATCTGCAACTGGAAGGCATCAAGACAGAGATATCGACCAACAAATCTATATTCGATGCCAGCTACTCCAAATTGAATCGCTTGATTGTTACCGCGTCGGCGGACAAGAATCTGCGTCTATACGATGCACGTACAAATCGTATGTGAAACTTAAAAATCTCGAACTGGTCTAAAACTCGACTAATGAATACCCTTCCATTTCAGAGGGTTCTGTGGTGCGTAACACTTATCTGGGACACAATGCTTGGGTGCAGACAGTCATGTGGTCAACTACGGAGGAGTTTCTGTTTGTGTCAGGATCATATGATAACCAGAACAAACTGTGGGATTGCAGAAGCCCCAAGGCGCCGCTTTACGATCTGCTGGGGCATGGCGAAAAGGTTCTGGACATCGACTGGTCGAATCCCAAATACATCGTTTCTGGCGGTGCCGATAACACTGTGCGTGTGTTTAAATCAGGCAAAGCAACAGTAGAAAATATGGAAACAAAATAAAATGTTGACGCATACATTTAATATATAGTAACTGCTAGACGCCGCTAAGTTTAAATAAAATGTACTATTTGTTTTTTTTTTGCAACACAAATATCGACTAACATTTTGCAATAGCTACCGGCGATATACTGCACACGCTTATAGCAACTATCGATAACAACGCTGCATCGATATTAATTTGACAACAAAAGAAACATCAAAAGCGGTCGACCGCTTGTCTGCCTGACTGTCCAACCACGACCAGCCTAACAACAATTTAAGCAAACTTTATGAAGTTGCAATTTAGGAATTTAGGAAACAAAAACAATCCGGACAATTAAAGTGTAAAGTGCGACGCGTTGGGCAACGCTCGCCGATCAAAGAACAGCAAAAACAACGCGGTCAAGTGTGAGACAGCGAGCGAAAGAGAGGCGAGAGAGCGAGCGCGACAGCAGGGAGCAGAACAATTTTGCAGTGTTTTCGCGACGTAAAAGTAATCAAATTTTATTTGCAAAAGGTGCGTATCGTACAATTAACCCCGTGCAGTTCTTTGTCTAAGTTCAAGCAATGTGTTATTGCCTCAAATTGTGCAATCAGGCGATTGACAGCGGCACAACGGCAGAGGCTACGCGTTTTGAAAATGTCTGCGCTGAGCTGATTGATTTTTTTAACTGCATCCGCGTGCAATCAGCAAATTTGTGCCCAGTTCTTTGAGTTAACGCTATAATTAAACACAACCGCTTTGCGCTAAGAGCATGGGCTTTGTCATGGCCAATGGCAAACTCCACACGCTGCCGCCGCCGCCGTCGTCGTTACCTCTCTGCCGTGCTGCAGCAGCAGCAGCAACGCTTGCCAAAATGGCCGCTTGCCTCTGCGCCTCTCTCTGCACGGGCAGCGCGCTCCGGTGATTAAATTTAATCCGATGGGGCTTTAAATGAATAGATTGTGGCATGAGGTTTTGGGGCTCTCAATTTTACAGTTTGTTTGCTTTTCGTCTCCACACAGCCAAACGGGTCAAGGACCTGTCGCAAGGCACACGCCAGTGCGGAGGCCATCTAACTCAATTGGAAAAACTACCTAGTTAGGTTTTTCGATCGCAGATTATTGATTCGAATAGTTCTATACTATCATGACACTTCCAAGAAATTAATCTAATTATTTACGTCTTATCCCTTTTGCTACGAAAAAACGCGGTTTCTACTGTATGGCAACGCCGTAGCCTGCAGGCCAGACAACCCAAAATCAAAGGAAGCCAAATATAAACATATTATATCGAAACTTTGTTCGACTTGAATGGGGTTTTTTATTTTTTAATAAGCCACTGGTTATATTTTTTGATAAGGTTCCTTTAATTGGAATTAAAGTTTCAAAAGAGCTTAGTTGATTTGAGGAGTAACCTCACTCTCACAATTAAATTAAACAAATGCCCACAGATTGTAAATTCAACTCAAACTTTACCACATAAAATCATGTCAAACTTATCTAACCTTATCTTACTCCTTGTTTCCTTTACAGCCCTCCTAATAGCTAAGGCGAACCATTTAAAAGACTGTAATCAACGTTATGTCTTCAACTCCAGCAGCGGCGTCTGGTGCCGGCAGCAGCGCCACCAGCTCCAGCGTTGCGGCCACATCCAGCGCCAGTTCCTCGAGCAGCACTGCCTCCACCAACCAGACCACAGCCGCCGGCACACCAGCACGCGGTCGTGGTGGCGCCAATACGAATGGCGGCACTGCGGCCGCCAACGCTGCCTCGGGAAGCAATAATTCGACGGCAACTGCAACCAGCGATGAACCACGCAAGGATACGAAGTCAACGCCTAGAATATCCAAAGCACTGGGGACCTCGGCCAAGCGCATACAAAAGGAACTGGCTGAAATCACATTGGATCCGCCGCCCAATTGCAGTGCTGGTCCCAAGGGCGATAATCTCTATGAATGGGTGTCGACCATATTGGGACCACCTGGTTCAGTGTATGAGGGCGGTGTATTCTTCCTGGACATACACTTTTCGCCTGAGTATCCGTTTAAACCGCCCAAAGTCACATTTCGCACTCGCATCTATCACTGCAATATCAATAGCCAGGGCGTCATTTGTCTGGACATATTAAAGGACAATTGGTCGCCGGCGCTGACCATATCAAAAGTTTTGCTCTCGATTTGTTCCCTGCTCACAGATTGTAATCCTGGTGCGTATATAATTAATATATATATTATCTTTTATCTCTATACTAATTAAATTTTGTGCTTTTAGCTGATCCTTTGGTTGGCAGCATCGCCACGCAATATTTGCAGAATCGAGAGGAGCACGATCGAATTGCGCGTCTCTGGACAAAGCGGTGAGTAGACACATACACACTCTCCCAGTTAGAAGCACACTGATTCTAATTCTCGCCTCTTTTCGCAGGTACGCAACATGATGCGCAAGTCCTAGCATTAAACACGTACCACACGCTGCAGCAAAAAACGAAAATTCGCAAATTATAAATAAATATATTAAAGTACGCTAACTATTAACTTAACGACATAACACACAAGGAAACAACAACAACAATAGTTAAAACGTATCCCATTTTAAAAAAGCAAAAAAAAAACCTTTCTGTAATTGTAACTTTATCATTATGCTAAACACACATACAAGTTTGAGAGATATGTATAATTGTTTATACAAGCAGAAAAAGTGTAAAAACAATTTTAACAACTTGTAGGTTGCGTGTTCAAAATTTCGTTTGTTTTAGAAGCAACACAGAAATACAAAAAAAAGAAAAGAAAAGAAATCAATACAAACAAAAGGAAACACTGAATATATTGAACCATAATCCACACATCATTCAACTTCACATTGGCATATTTACTAATCAACCACATAAATAAATAAATAATTATAAATACAATTAGTTTACATTACGAGTATCTGTACAGTGTTAAGTAAAAATGGAGCTAAACAATTAACAACAAACAAAGCCTATTTTAGTAAATATACTTATTAACACAACAAACGAAACAAATAACAAATCGTCAGGGCAGCAAATTTCGTAATTTTGAGCAAATTTTCAATAATAAGTGGCCGCAGCAACAACAACAACTAAGAATTCTTGACAAAACATAAAAAAGACTCAATGTAAAAACAAATAACAATACATTTCTATAAACAATGTAAGACACAATTTTTTCCAAATTGCAAAGAAAAACCTTTTTGTTATTTATAAACAATTTGATTTAGTTTATGTTTTAATGTGATATCTGTAAGCGTCAAAATTGTTCTTTGGCCATTCTCGTGCTGTAAAAATTGTGTATTATTAATAAAAAAAAAAAATGCGAGCATAAATATGAAAATCGCGAAATTTGCGTGGTATTTTAAACAAATTGCAAAATTTATAACAAAAGAATGAAAAAAAGTGAAAACAAACAAAAACTTCCTATTATTTTGTAGTTTTAATGAATCAATTGAGAGAAAACTTAAGAAAATGCGAAAATATAAACAATAAGTTTATGAGCAAGAGAAAATTGAATAAAAACGAAATAAAGGAAACTATTTAAAAATGTGAAGCCATGTCTTAAACTGGAGATGTGTTTATATCAGGGACCCTAATTATTATAAGTTGTCTTATGAAAAACAATAACCAGTTAATAATTATTTTTTAATTTTGTTTTATAGTTCATAGAGTAATAAAACTCTGATTATAATCAATTTGGGAGCAATAAAAACGAAAATAAGAATTGAGAGAACTTTCGCTTGAAAATAAAACTCAACAAGGAACTCTAACCTTGCTGCATGGCCTAAATGGATTATGCTGAACTTCTTAAGAGCATTATAATAATTTCTGTGAGTTTTATTTGTCATGCCCAAAAGAATATTAACTTGAGTTCTATAACACGACTACAAAATATATATAATAAAGCAATAATTCTTTTTAAGGGTCCAGGTCAATGTAGCCAAGTCCATCATTCTGTTTTTGTTTAAACCAATCTTAAAGATTTCTAGAACTATTTTCTTTTAAATCAAATCAATGCTTCATAAACTTAAAACTTTTGTTGTTTTTTTGAGATACTTTGGCAAAAGTCACATATATCAAAAGACATTATCCCACCAATATTAGAATATTATATCATAATGTTACTACGCAAAAGAGAGGGAGTTGAAAATTTTTTAAAAATTATCTAAATTATCTAATCAAAAATTAAAGAATTTTGAAGAGGATCCATTGCCTCAAAACTTAGGTGTATGTAGCTTAGATAAAGCAAAAACATGTCAAATATCTTTTCGAGGACTTCACAAAAGTTTCATCTTCGCCAGCTTAAAGAACACTTTCCTCTAAATCAGATTTTTTCTTATAAAAATCCTTTTCGAAAGTAGGTCAAATTGATATAATATTAAATCCTAAGATAGTGGCAAGAATTTTAAATAATAGTAAATCATCAAAAGGATATTAATTAGACGATGCCTTGAAGTTAAATATGTTCTTTTTTTGTATTTAAGTTTTCAGCCATATTTTGTTTATTTTAAATTATGTTTTATTCGTTATGTTTGTATATAATTGTTTATATAAAATATGTTTGACATTCATTTCAATTCACTAATTTGGATGCATGTGGCACAGCTTAGTCCACACACGACATCCAAAGCCCCCAACCCACACGAGACTGGCACACAAAACGGTATATATATATATGTGTATACTACGAAGGACTTGCTCTGGCCCTGCCTTATAGATACATGCCATTGACGAGGAAGTCCGCCTCCTGGGAATAGGGCGTCTTGCCGCCCATGCGACGTGCCCGCCGACCCACTGTGCGCATCCGGCAGCCAATGAGTATGGCCAGCGCCGCGGTCACCAGCAGGCCCAGCGTCAGCGAGAGCACGGCGCCGCCGGGACGCTCCGAGTGACCATCATGATCCCGAAACTCCAGCGCCAGATTGTCGTGTATCATTTTGTATTGCTCGTGCACGGGTCCAACTGGCACGGGCAATGCCGGCGGCGGCAACTGTTGCTGCGGCTGTTTGTTTTGCTCCAGCGCCAGCTCAATGGGATCCTTGCTGCTGCTGCTCTTGGGCTTGGCCTTCTTGTGCTTGCGCTGCTTCTATTCGATTCGATCGGGTAAGTAAGGAACAATAGTTGAGCCTAATATAAAACTCACCTTCTTGGGCGGCTCTGTGGACTTGTCCTCCTCGTAGTCATCGTACTCCTCATCAGCCGGCTGGTTCTTGCCAAGCGTTGGCGCTGCATTCAGCACGGGCAACATAGCTTGCTGTGGCGGCTGCGGTGGGGCAACTGGAGGCGGTGCTGCTGCAGCAGTTATGTAGGCGTGGCTCTGTTGCTGCTGTGGCTGTGGCTGTTGCACGGCAATTTGAGCTAGCGGCGCTGCAACTTGTGGCCAGTTAACAAGAGGCGGCGACTGTTGTGGCACGTTCACAACTTGCGGCTGTTGTTGTTGCTGCTGTGGCGTCAGATAAATGGCGGTGCGTGGCAGCGACATGCCATACAAAGAGCCACCTCCAGACGCCGCATTATTGTTGTACGCCGGCAATTGGAGCTGCGCTGCTGGCGCTGGCGGCGGAGGCGGCTGGCCCTGAACCTGCCCCTGGCCCTGCTGTTGCAGTTGCAGGCCGCCTTTGTGATTAAATATGTGACTGTTCAGCTGCTCATCTGTTGAGGAAGCGAATGGTTAAACGCACAGCTAATTGAATTAATTACAACTAGACACTGACACCAAAACAACACACACACACGCACACCCTCCTACCCACCAACACACTCGTAAATCAATTCTGAGCGACGTGGCTCCCATTACAACAATGAAAACTGATGGGTAATTGCAATTTTCCCAGCAACTTCTCAAGTGCCCGCAGCCAATTGGCCGGACTGGACTGGTCATCGGAGCAGCAGCAGCCGAAGCTGGATGCAGTTGGGCGCCGCAGCATTGCGTGCTCTTTGGCTGCAATTTATGTGCTCAAGTCACACAGCAAGTTTCAAATTAAATATTTTGTTATAAATATTTATTGCAAATTTTTCGTTAAGCTTGTTAGCTATCTTTAAACATGCTTCAAATTGAAAGATTTGCAGCTTAGAAAGAAGCCTTCTTTGTAAATTGACATTATTTATTGAAGTTTGACAAAACTGTTGTTTATTTAACTCTGCCTACATTTATTTCCATCTCTTAAATATTTCGAAAACCTATTTAATTTTAATTTTAATCAAGGCTGCTTTGTGGTCCTAAACCAAACTAAAAAGTTTGTTTAAATCTTTCTATTATTTCTAAAGTCTTCTTACCCAAAGGTAATCGATCCGAACCAATATTTTTTAAGGTGTTAAAAAAAACCAATTGACTTTTTAGTAATTAAATCACTTGGATAGGATCGGTTGTCCTTATACTTAGCTGCAGATGGTCCTAATTCAAAATATGGTATTCTACCTTGATGAAAGGTATTTCAGCCAGATTGGAAAAGCTTTAAAAAAAGTTTTAGGTAATGCCAGCCTATTTCTTAGATTAAAGAAAATTAGTTATCCGCAGGACTTCCCCTTTTTTGGCCCCCTTTGTAAATATTGCTGTAAACAGAAATTCCGGCTACATAAATGCCAACCAGCCAAGGGTCATTCTTATGCAACATTTCATTTATTTTCTCCTGGGTCAGCTGCCGCACAGAATATTTTCTAGACTCTTTTGGGCCTCAGCTTTGTGGTGTTTACAAAGAGGAGGCCTAGCTGCACCCAAGGGCATACCTACAACCAATTTGTCAAGAGGGAAATGTGGGAAATAATTACGTGTTTGCCCAAACTTAGATATTTTTGTCACAGTCACAGTTTGCAGAGTAGATATTTGCTATAACTTCTAAATACCCTGTACACTTTCTATATGCAAAGGTAAAAAAGAATCGAAAAAGTAGCTTTCAAGGAGCTAAGCGGATGTATTTTCCAGACTTGCCATATATGCATTTTCTTAGTATATGTGTTATTAAGACTATGATGTATTCAGATATGTTATATATTCCATAATTATAAAACTAGCGAATGACTGAACGTCAAATTGACTGACTGATTGATTGATTGATTGATCATCAACGCACAGGCATAACCCTTACCCGTAAACGCAAAGAAATTTCACCGACAACTGTGAAAAATTGGTGAAAAATGGTTGAAACTTTTCGATTGAAAAATCTGATATGTTTTAAACTCGCTTTCAAATATCTATTTACAATGTCATTTGAGAATTAATAAACTTTCCACGGGTGGTAAATGGCTACAAAATTAAAGCCTATAATTTAGTTACTAATTATGATTAGTAACTGTTATCGATAAATGCATGAACTATAAAGATATGTCTATGTAGCTATAATATATGTAAAACAATATACGTTTCTAAACTAATTTTTAATGAGAGTAAAAACAGTTTGACAAGCTGTTTATAGAGAAAAACACTAGGAGGTGAGAAAATATTTTTAAGCATCAGAAAGTTGAAAGTACAGGATATTATATATATGAGGCTAGATCTATGAACATTATTTTATTTGTTAAACTAATACTTAAGCTTTTACCATTAGACAAACTGTGTCCTCTAGCTATACCCTTCCTGTCATATTATAGCAAAATTTGATGCCTTTTGGTTTAACTATCCATTCGACAGTTTAACTTGCATATTTGCATATTTTCAAAATTACAGGGTGTAAAAAGGAAGAGTGTTTTTACCTAGCCAATTACTAGAACTCAGTGTTGCGCCCTCTCTTTAATTTAATTAATTTTATTCTAATGTTTTCTAGCTTTAAGCTAATTTTCAGACTCTTGTAATGTGATTTCCTTTGAAATGCAGCTAAAAACGCTTTCGTACTTAAACATGACGCATCGCACTTATTCACAATTGAGACTCATATTTACCCGTGCTCAGAATCTCGCCTGGCGCTTGAGGCTGTTGCTGCTGCTGCTGTTGTTGTTGCTGTTGCTGTTGTTGTTGCTGTTGTTGCTGTTGTTGCTGTTGCTGCTGTTGCTGTGTCTCGGCAATCATTTTGCGATTAGCCCAAGCGGTCGCATCCTCACGATTGTTGACCATAGGCGGCGGTGGAGGAGGCGGCGGTGGTGGTCCCAGCACAATAACATGTTGCTGTTGTTGCTGCTGTTGCTGCTGTTGTTGCTGCTGTTGCTGTTGCTGTGGTTGCTGAGCTGCCTGCAATTGCTGCTGTATGGGCGGCACAGGCTGATATTGCTCGACATTGTTGTTGCCGCTGGCCTTTGTGGCAACGGCATTGCACTGAAAAGTTGGTCAGCAATTGAAATTGACTCTGTGTGTGTGTGTGTGTGTGATTAAACTTACTTCCGGTCCCTCGTCGCTGCCATCTTCGCACTGAGGAATGCCATCGCAGGCATTGTAAACGGCAATGCACTCGCCCGAATGGCAGCTGAACTGAAAGCGTCCGCAGTGCGCGGCGGGCGCTGCTTAAATTGAAAACGGAAAATGGAAAATTTGCATAATGTGCGTGTGTGTGTGTGTGTGTGCATACCGCTTTGAGCTGGCGTTGCCGCAGCGGGGGACTGGGCCACGCCCGTTGTGGGCATGACCGCAATTGCGGGCTTGTCCGGCCTGAGCTTCAGATTGCTGAGCTCCCACTCCTGCTGCGATATGTTGTTGCTGGGTATGTGCGGCAGCTGCGGCCGCGGCGTGCTGGCCACCACATCCACGGCGTTGCGCACCTGCGGGGTCAGCACGGCGCTCGTGTAGTTCGCATGCCGCGTGAACTTGCAGTGGAAATTCTCGGGCGGACCGCACTCGAACAAGTAGCAATAGCCGCCGGCCTTGCGCTCAAAGATGTACACATCGCAGGCATCCGTTTCGCAGCACAAGCGCTCGCACTCCTCCAGCGTGTCCAGCTCCAGGCCCTGCAGATACTTGCCGCCAATCGCCTGCGACTCGCCCGTGCGTATAATCGTGTTCTTGTGCACATCGAAGTGGCCTATAAAGAAGCTCGTTGGGATTGCTTTTGCTAGCTGCCGGACTGCGCTTACCTATGCAGACTTCAAGATCCATACGCTTGGCCAGACGATGCGTAACGCTGGAAGTGTCAGTTGGCGCTGGCGCAAGCTCCGGCTGACCAACAGCTGCCACGACGAGGAGGAGGAGCAGCCGCAGCGGCAGCGACAGCTCAAGCATCATGTTGCAGCTGGCTTGTGGTTAGCCTCTTGCCTTGGACTCTTGGACACAGCTCACTGGGTTGGGTGGTGGGGTTGGGTTTTTCGGGGGCTTGGCGTGTTTACGAATTTTACACGCTTATTGATTTTTTTCGTACAAGCACAAAACGTGCGTAGTTTCTTTTTTTGTTTAACTGGCCAAAGTAAAACAAAGCTTGGGCAATTATTAAAAAATTGCTTATCTCTTTTGAGTTACAATTTATAATTGTTTGCTAATATTAAAAACGAAAACAACAACAAGTCAGCTCAGCTTGTTGGCCCGAATGTAAACCAATGGAAAATGCAGAGGAAAATTCAGCAGCACTTCTCGAACTCAGCAACCCTTAAAAGCAAAGCTCTCAAGCGTTTACAATCAGCTGTAAGGGTCGAGCTTTAACTGTTAAAAATAATTTTAATTTTTTAAATGATATATATTTTAATATACAGCAATAATTGATATATTCATGCAGCACATTTTACAACTTTCATTCTATTTATTTATTTATTTTATTTTTCATGCATTTCATTATCTTGCATTTTCCATGAAAGCTCTAAGCTCTCTCTCTCTCTCCCTCTCTCTCTCTCTGTGTACCCTCCCTTCCAGTGAACATATGTTAACCTTATGTTTGCGTTTCAACCCTAACCTTGCGGACCTTGCAAGAACAACAGGATATACAGTCCTGTCCTTTGCCAGGCTCTTCTATTCCCGAACCATCTTTGAAAATGATTTTAACTGCAAACATGTAGACGGCATATTACCATAAAAATCAATAAAAGCTCTTGTATCGTTGTTTTTTTTGCTCATTTTGCTGGCTTTAATAATTTCGCTCTGGTCGAGGGTGGTTGAGGTTGGTTGGGGGTGCTAATGTCTGGGTGGTTGGGCAGGATTGGGGGCAGGCACGCAGCCAGGTAGGTAGGCAGGCAGGCAGGTGGTAGATTGTTGGCAAATATTGTGATGTGGCTTGCGGAATGTAAAAAGATGGGATCATGTTTGAACTGTCATTTCAATTGTTTGCACGGCCAGTTTTAAGTTTTTCAGATGTATTCAACGCAGGCGACAATATTTAAGTGCTATACAGCACACCCAAGTACCTCAAGTAATAAAAGAATCTTTGCAAATGTTTATCTTTAATTGTTTATTATTATTTTTGTTAAATTAATGTACACAAAGCATGCTATTAAATTAAAACAAGTTAATTATAATCAAGTCATGACCAAAATGAGTAAAAATGTCACTTACATATACATATAATATATATATTATTGTATTAATCTGTTAATTATAAAAACAAAGCGTGTAAATAAAAATTTATTAAAACAATTCAATATTATATTATAATATAATCAATACATATATATATATAGCGGCTATACCCCGGCCTTACCGTGGTACGGAAACCCACTATCGAATAGCAAATAATTAAATTAATAATCGGGCATTTATCAAAACTTTTTTGATGATTTTTATTGAATATCTCGGGTAAATTTTGTCCGATTTTGAAATGTTATGTAGGGATCCCTACTATCAATCTGCGTTCAAACATTTTAAAAATCGATGGGTAAAAAAATGTGGTTGACCAAAAACCGATTCGTTTGTAGAGTCAACCTTTTCTGATGATTTTTTGGAATATCTTGGCCAAATACTGTCCGATTTGGGAATTTTATACCATTTTGGACTCGTAAGAATCAGTACTATCGATTGGCATCAAAAAAATAAAAATCTAAATTTTGACCAAAATCAACAAAATGGTAAGGGGTTACATCACGTTTTTTCTCAAATTCGGGGTCGGTTCGAAAATCAAAACTCTTTTGATGATTTTTATTGATTATCTCGGGTAAATATTGTCAGATTTTGAAATGTTATTCCTTTTTGAATTCGTGGGGATCCCTACTATCAATCTGCGTTCAAACATTTTAAAAATCGATGGGTTAAAAAATGTGGTTGACCAAAAACCGATTCGTTTGTAAAGTCAACCTTTTCTGATGATTTTTTTGAATATCTTGGCCAAATACTGTCCAATTTGGGAATTTTATACCATTTTGGACTCGTAAGAATCAGTACTATGGATTGGCATCAAAAAAATAAAAATCTAAATTTTGACCAAAATCAACAAAATGGCAAGGGGTTACATCACGTTTTTTCTCAAATTCGGGGTCGGTTCGAAAATCAAAACTCTTTTGATGATTTTTATTGAATATCTCCGGTAAATACTGTCAGATTTTGAAATGTTATGCCTCTTTGAATTCGTAGGGATCCCTACTATCAATCTGCATTCAAACTTTTAAAAAATCCATTGGATAAAAAAATGTGGTTGACCAAAAACCGATTCGTTTGTAAAGTCAACCTTTTCTGATGTTTTTTTTGTATATCTTGGCCAAATACTGTCCAATTTGGGAATTTTATACCATTTTGGACTCGTAAGAATCAGTACTATCGATTGGCATCAAAAAAATAAAAATCTTAATTTTGAACAAAATCAACAAAATGGTAAGGGGTTACATCACGTTTTTTCTCAAATTCGGGGTCGGTTCGAAAATCAAAACTCTTTTGATGATTTTTATTGAATATCTCCGGTAAATACTGTCAGATTTTGAAATGTTATGCCTCTTTGAATTCGTAGGGATCCCTACTATCAATCTGCGTTCAAACATTTAAAAAATCCATTGGATAAAAAAATGTGGTTGACCAAAAACCGATTCGTTTGTAAAGTCAACCTTTTCTGATGATTTTTTTGAATATCTTGGCCAAATACTGTCCAATTTGGGAATTTTATACCATTTTGGACTCGTAAGAATCAGTACTATCGATTGGCATCAAAAAAATAAAAATCTAAATTTTGACCAAAATCAACAAAATGGTAACGTTTTTTCTCAAATTCGGGGTCGGTTCGAAAATCAAAACTCTTTTGATGATTTTTATTGATTATCTCGGGTAAATATTGTCAGATTTTGAAATGTTATTCCTTTTTGAATTCGTGGGGATCCCTACTATCAATCTGCGTTCAAACATTTTAAAAATCGATGGGTTAAAAAATGTGGTTGACCAAAAACCGATTCGTTTGTAAAGTCAACCTTTTCTGATGATTTTTTTGAATATCTTGGCCAAATACTGTCCAATTTGGGAATTTTATACCATTTTGGACTCGTAAGAATCAGTACTATCGATTGGCATCAAAAAAATAAAAATCTAAATTTTGACCAAAATCAACAAAATGGCAAGGGGTTACATCACTTTTTTTCTCAAATTCGGGGTCGGTTCGAAAATCAAAACTCTTTTGATGATTTTTATTGAATATCTCGGGTAAATATTGTCAGATTTTGAAATGTTATGCCTCTTTGAATTCGTAGGGATCCCTACTATCAATCTGCGTTCAAACATTTTAAAAATCGATGGGTTAAAAAATGTGGTTGACCAAAAACCGATTCGTTTGTAAAGTCAACCTTTTCTGATGATTTTTTTGAATATCTTGGCCAAATACTGTACAATTTGGGAATTTTATACCATTTTGGACTCGTAAGAATCAGTACTATCGATTGGCATCAAAAAAATAAAAATCTAAATTTTGACCAAAATCAACAAAATGGTAAGGGGTTACATCACGTTTTTTCTCAAATTCGGGGTCGGTTCGAAAATCAAAACTCTTTTGATGATTTTTATTGAATATCTCGGGTAAATATTGTCAGATTTTGAAATGTTATGCCTTTTTGAATTCGTAGGAATCCCTACTATCAATCTGCGTTCAAACATTTTAAAAATCGATGAGTTAAAAAATGTGGTTGACCAAAAACCGATTCGTTTGTAAAGTCAACCTTTCCTGATGATTTTTTGGAATATCTTTGCCAAATACTGTACAATTTGGGAATTTTATACCATTTTGGACTCGTAAGAATCAGTACTATCGATTGGCATCAAAAAAATAGAAATCTAAATTTTGACCAAAATTAACAAAATGGCAAGGGGTTACATCACGTTTTTTCTCAAATTCGGGGTCGGTTCGAAAATCAAAACTCTTTTGATGATTTTTATTGAATATCTCGGGTAAATATTGTCAGATTTTGAAATGTTATGCCTTTTTGAATTCGTAGGAATCCCTACTATCAATCTGCGTTCAAACATTTTAAAAATCGATGAGTTAAAAAATGTGGTTGACCAAAAACCGATTCGTTTGTAAAGTCAACCTTTCCTGATGATTTTTTGGAATATCTTTGCCAAATACTGTCCGATTTGGGAATTTTATACCATTTTGGACTCGTAAGAATCAGTACTATCGATTGGCATCAAAAAAATAAAAATCTAAATTTTGACCAAAATTAACAAAATGGTAAGGGGTTACATCACGATTTTTCTCAAATTCGGGGTCGGTTCGAAAATCAAAACTTTTTTGATGATTTTTATTGAATATCTCGGGTAAATATTGTCAGATTTTTAAATGTTATGCCTCTTTGAATTCGTAGGGATCCCTACTATCAATCTGCGTTCAAACATTTTAAAAATCGATGGGTTAAAAAATGTGGTTGACCAAAAACCGATTCGTTTGTAAAGTCAACCTTTTCTGATGATTTTTTGGAATATCTTGGCCAAATACTGTCCAATTTGGGAATTTTATACCATTTTGGACTCGTAAGAATCAGTACTATCGATTGGCATCAAAAAAATAAAAATCTAAATTTTGACCAAAATCAACAAAATGGTAAGGGGTTACATCACGTTTTTTCTCAAATTCGGGGTCGGTTCGAAAATCAAAACTCTTTTGATGATTTTTATTGAATATCTCGGGTAAATATTGTCAGATTGTGAAATGTTATGCCTTTTTGAATTCGTAGGAATCCCTACTATCAATCTGCGTTCAAACATTTTAAAAATCGATGAGTTAAAAAATGTGGTTGACCAAAAACCGATTCGTTTGTAAAGTCAACCTTTCCTGATGATTTTTTTGAATATCTTGGCCAAATACTGTACAATTTGGGAATTTTATACCATTTTGGACTCGTAAGAATCAGTACTATCGATTGGCATCAAAAAAATAAAAATCTAAATTTTGACCAAAATTAACAAAATGGCAAGGGGTTACATCACGTTTTATCTCAAATTCGGGGTCGGTTCGAAAATCAAAACTCTTTTGATGATTTTTATTGAATATCTCGGGTAAATATTGTCAGATTTTGAAATGTTATGCCTTTTTGAATTCGTAGGAATCCCTACTATCAATCTGCGTTCAAACATTTTAAAAATCGATGAGTTAAAAAATGTGGTTGACCAAAAACAGATTCGTTTGTAAAGTCAACCTTTCCTGATGATTTTTTGGAATATCTT